CCTCTCCATGTGTAAAGTACCAGAATACATTATTATAGAAAACAAAACAGAAGAAAATAGAATAGAATCTAAAAAACAATGTTTACTAACAAAAATAGTTCACTCAAAAATTTTAATTTGCTAAACATTTCCTCACCTTCAGGCCATATTTGACGTAGGATGAGTTTGTTTCTTCATCAGAGCATACTTGGAGAAATTTAGCATTAAGGCTCTGCAGTGAATGGGTGCCGTCAGAATGATAGTTTGAACAGCTTTTCACTTCACAAGATGTTAATTGAGTCTGAATTTAAGTTGTGGATTATTGTGATGTTTTTATCAGCTGTTTGGACTCTCAGCTGTCTTTGATATCTTCCTCCATCTCTGTCTCTCTTGTTCAGTTCAGACGTGTTCTGCAGCACTGTGAGTGTGTGTGTGTGTGTGTGTGTGTGTGTGTGTATGAAATGGTGAGTGAGTGGGTTGAATTTGGCAGCAGCCTGATTGAAACAGATATAGATTAATTAGCAATGCTAATTAAGATGAATTAAGCTGCTCCCTTAATGAAGTGGCTCCTCTTTAATCAATTATCGTCACTGTGCTGATTTGAACGTGTTGATAAACACATTAATGTATTCCATATGTCTCATAAACACAGCAGTGTGTGACGTTCATCACGGATCTGAACCTGTGTTTACACGCCACAAACCACATTTAACTGCTGCTTTCGAGAGAAAAGGGCTCTAATTGTGATTTTTCTGAAAAAAAGTTATTCTAGTTTCAAAATAAATAACATTATAATAAATAAATATAATTGTAAAAAAAATAAATAAATACTATTACTACTACTACTAATAAATTTCAATTATTTTTTTATTTATTATTTATTACAATATAAAATAATGGTTTCTATTTGAATATCCTTTAAAATATCATTTATTTCTGTGATGCAAAGCTGTATTTCCATCATCATTCCTCCAGTATAAAGTGTCACATGATCTTCAGACATCATTCTAATATGCTGATTTATTATTAGAATTATCAACAGTT